CTTAACATTTCATCATGCGTTATAACTTCTATAATAAAACCAATTATTTCACAAAAAGTGAAACTTTTCCAAAATATAGTACTTGATATGCATAACATGTATCAAAATTCAGTTAATCATATGAAAAATATTTATAAGTGGAACTTAAAATAGAGAGCTGCTGTCAAATTAATTCACCAAGGTGTGTTGTATTTCCGTTGACATTTCCTGGAATAATGACCTCATTGAAACATATCCAAAAACAGGATTTTATATAATGAGGATAAGATAAAATCATAAATGTTGGTTAAGCAAGTTACTTGACACCTAGAATCAAAGAGTATTGAGTCATGTATGATGAATAATTCACAATTTTTAAATTGGGATAATGTGATGACAATGCAGCTCAATTAAATTAAATTATCAATGAAAAATACAATGAATGGGAGGGGTAGAATTCAACATACACCGAATCATATACATAAGGGTTATGTACTGGGAGGTTTTGGATATGGGGTTTATCCAGAGGGAGATATGCATATCTACCTGAGGAACCGTAGGGACCGAAGGTAGATGTGCATATCTCACGAGGGATGAACTCAATATCCAAACCAACCGTACATAACTGCTTTATCCTATACCAAGTTTTCAGGGGCATATGGCCATTTCAATAGTACAAGGTGTAAAAATAAACAAATCATTCATATGCAAAGTCATTTTCTTGCATTTCCACTTTTACATTTTAAATACATTGATAACTTTTTGAAATACAAAAGTGTTGTTAAACAATTTAACAAAAGGATAAATGTATCCAAAAATTTGAAAAAAAGAAATTTTAAGTGAAATTACCGGAAGCGGGAAGATATGCACCGAAGCGGGAGATATGGCGGGAGATATGGAGGTTCTGGATATGGAAACCTCAAAATCAAAATACGGGATATATCTTACCAACTTATCTCCCTAAAACTCTACTTGGCATAGGATAAAGTACTATAAACATATTTGTCATGGTTGAGGGAAAAATATTAATGTGCTTTTGTCAGTCACCTTTTTTGGTATTCCCAGTGATAGCATTCAAAATTAATGATTCAGTTTATGTTATCAATTAACTTCAGGACTCGTAAAAGTCTTATGCGACTGAAGGAAGTGAACATAAATTAATGTGACTGTCATGCCTGTTCAATTTGAAATATAACAACATAGTCTTCCTTCTTCCAGAGTCGTGTCATACTCACATGTACATCATATGCCTTCCTTATGAAGCATATTATAGACATACAAAAAAAGCCAATCAATTACTTGCTTGTTTGCTTGAACAGTCAAATATATAGTTGGGGGAATTTACCCCTATATTAGGCAGAATATTTCAGATGGTGATACAAGTATAAACTTTGGCTTTTCTGGTTCTTAAAACCTTTTTTAAAAAATCTGTCCCTGTGATCGACGGAATATTTCACTTCTTCCCCCCAAAATCCAAGATGGCCGACAAAGTATGACTTAAATAACATGTAGGGTGGGCAAAAAAATTTTTTGGGGAAAATTCATGCTCTCATGGTGAAATATTGTTCTTTAAGGTGAAAATAGTCATGTGAATTTTTTTCAAATTTTTAAACTAAATTTTAGCCCTCTCCCATGGCCCCAAAGTGTGACGATTTGGCGTAAAATGGGAAATAATGTTCATTTTCTAGGTTCAAATAAAGAATGCAATGACAAATAACATTAATTATTATTTAAAAAACATCTAATAACTTTGCCTGATACTACAATATGAAGATTTCAATTATTGGAAAATTGAAAGTATTTTTTAAAAAGCGTTGAAAGTGCCCTACCCCATAAAATTGGAAAAAGGAAGTAGTGGTCAATTTTATCATTCTGTAGGATTAAGTTAGAAACGTGTATCAACAGAAAACAAATAAGTACATTCAGACCATCTTCAAAGGTAACTGGATATTATAATATGATTATTATAACTATATAGGACACAACATATTTTATATATGTGTGTGATTATATGTTTATGTAGTACAGTACATGTATCACTATGTAATGTTATGTAATCATAAAATAAAATAGAGAGGTTGCTATGATTTCATCAGAGTATGATTAGACATGTTTATCTCTATGTTTAGAGCTGTAGTATACAACATACACACATAACACATAATACTGTTATGAACTCAAGTCAAAATAAATAATTAGGAGTTAAGCAAGGTTCTTTCCTGACACCCTTCTTATTTTGTATACTCACAAATTGGTACAATGGATACTCTATTTAATTTAATGAATTTAACATCATTGGTACTTCTGTTCTATAATTAGGAATATACATTCACTAATTTACAACAAAATCAGTTTTTAAAAGTCATTTTTACATAGGAGCCGTTTAAGGTTTACTTTTGATACCCTTCTTATTCTTTACACTTACAAATGCACTAATTTACAACAAAATCAATTTGTGTAAATTGCCAAAACAACTGAAGTTTCCAAAACAACTGAACATTGAGTACTGAGTGAGTTTTTCAGATTTATCAATGTATGTTTTACAACTACAACACCAGCAAGAAAATAATTGCAGAATTTTGACGTGAGTTTAAACAATGGAGTATCATTGCTTGTGGCACTATTGTCCTTCAGGTTTGGTTGTGATTAGCAGCTTTAGTCTTTTTGTCAGTTTAATTTCTATTTTTCTGCTTCTACCCCTAAAGCTGCATACAAACTCAGAGAGGTTGGAAAACACATTGATCAAACCTCACTAAGTTATTCAGCCAGCTCTGCACAATGCAGCCATAGTCACCATTTTTCTGTTTGGCCTATTTCTAAGAGAGCCTTGTTCCACTCTGTTGCTGTAACTCCAGCAGAATTTAACAGCCAGAAAAGGGACTATCATATTGTTCTGATGTGATGACAATCAAGTCATTTGGGCAATAAAGGAGTCTCATTGTAATAGTCATTACAATTAGTCACCTTCCAATCTGTTGCCTGAATCACATATGTTGCTTTAGGACTCTTTAGGCAGTTTGAAGTACTTGTGACAATTGGGTCAATATGTTGGATGTTCTATTAGGCCACCCTGCCTTGCCTAGTTGGTTGGATAAGTTTTGTGTCATTTAGTGTTCTATAAGGAAATTGCAGGGAGCTTCCAGGAGACTGCAACATTTGATATGATTCCCAGGTTACTAGGTTTTTTTAGTTCAGTGAAGATACACAGAATGGCTATTTCAGTGTCATTTGCTAGAGTGACCCCATCAATCCATGAAAATGTGATACTAGTATGTTGGATGTGGGTTACCATTTCTCATTTTAAATTCATTGCACTCCTTGTGGCTCCTTTCAGAAGGATGTTCATAACTGCCATGAATAGTAATATGCAGCCTGCCATGATTCCCTTCTCTAAAGGCTGCCAACCAGTGGTGATTGTTTCAGTCAAGAATCTCAACTGAATACCTTCAAGGTGCTCTATCTCAAGGCCAATCACATGTTGAGGAACATTATAATGCTTCAAGGCTGTTGAGTTCATTTGTGTGGTACACTGCTGCCTTAGTTATATCAAGCCATACAATTGGCAAGTTGGTTTTGTGTTGCTTTGTTTCTGCTATTAGCTGTGTTATAGCTGCAACATCAACATCACATGGCCTTTACTGTTGACCTCACCGTAGACAACTCGACACGGGGCTCTAAACCCAGCAAGTCTCTAGACATGTTTAGTTTGCTTTTGTAAAAAATCTGTACGTAAATGTACAGTATTGTGCAATTGCACATGTAATTCTGTATAATTGATAAGTTCTTGTCTACCTGCCCTTATTTCATCATACTATTAAGAGATTGTGATAATAATGGACTAAGGTAGAACCTTGGAAGACTACTTCAATGTTTGCATTGATACCTGGTTGACAATATTCTCATTCAAACTTGAAATATATTCTTGAATTAATATTGTCTTATATATTTAAAATGTATTAGAGAATGTCATAAAGTAATTCAAGTTCTAACAGAGAGGGCCAAAATAGAACCTTGAAGAACTCCTATGAAACTCTTTTTGCCAAAATTCAAATCAAAGAAGATCATAGCATTTTAAATATATTTGCATATCTTAGTACTGAGTGAACCTATTTTTTAACCATATTATCTCTATGTATGAATCTAAGGTGTCATTTTAACCGAATTATGTACATATTTCGACAACCTTAAATTTTTTACTGAAATAGTATTAGGTTTGGCTGATTTGAGGGATGGAATTTTTCTTTTTTGCATAAATAACTAACGAGCCCATAAATTTGCATGTATCGCAATTTTGAATATTTTCCACCGAATTCCAAGAGATTGTGATAATAATGGAGTGTAGTAGAACCTTGCGGGACTCCTTCAAAGTCTCCTTGGTACTTGTAAGACAGTGTTTTCTCGAAACTTGAAACATTAGATTGAATTATGTATGAAATATCAACATTATTCAAGAAAACAAGTTTAATGACTAAAGTTGTTGCAAAATAAGACTGCTCCCAAAATAGAACCTTGTAGAATCCCTATATAAAGTCATTTTGCCCAAATTCAGCTCATTGATGAATGTAACTGTATTTCTAGATATAATGTACATGCTTTACTACTGAATTAATATAATTTTAAACCATATTTATCTCTATATATGAATCTAGAGTGTCATTTGTATCGAATTACACATGTACGGCAGCCATCTTGAATTTTTTCCTGAAATAGTGTTCAGTTTGATTGATCACAGGGACAGAATTTTTCCAAATAGTTTAAATAACAGATTAAGCCAATAAATTTGCTTGTTTCACCATTTGAAATATTTTCCACGAAATTCCCCCCACTAATAGTCATGTTTATGATCTCAGAGGAAATTATTTTTAATACAAAGTATCTTTTTATCAACATATTTATTTAAGTACATACTGAACATATAACTGCAACATTAAACACGCAACATTTAATGGCAGGGGGTTGACAACATCACGTCATTTTTTACCCTGGGAGCACTAGGTGATGGGGGATTGGAGTGAACTTACCTCAGTTAAAGCATGGAGCTGTCCTTCATGTACACAAACACCTTTAAATCTGAAATACAAAAATATTAGAATTAATCAATTGAATAAAAGCATTGTTACCTTGTACTTATTCTTGTAACAACAAGGGCCATCCAAATGATGATAGTTGGACAGGCACAGAAAGTTGTTCCCTCAGACAGGTTTTACTGTAATTCTATGTTGAAGCAATAGAAGCCATAATACCCACTCACTACAGTGACAACCTCTAATCATCAGATCTGTCTAATAATTCTTTGTTTCATGGCTATAGGGAGTAATTTATCTCATAATACCAGATAGTCAATTTGCTTTGTTCAACTGTATTTCATTCAACTCAATCCCTGGGGTTGTAAAGGTATATTTTATATAGATAATGCTTTATTCCTAATCCCTTTCATTTTGTCTCATGCTCACAGAGTAGAAAAAGTAGGTCATTTATTTTTATTGTGACTTGCATATCTTTTCATCTTTTATCAATCAAAATTAAACTCTCCGTTTTAAAATACTGGTTAATTACTTATCAAATTGCCATCCATATAGAAAAGAGAAACACGACCTAAAGGTTTAAGTCTTATTTTGACACCATCTTGATTCTAAAAATTTTCAGTTGTTTCAACCACCTTAAATTGGAGATGGATTGACACATCTCTACAAATTTGATATACCAGGCAATCTCCCTACTGGGAGAAAAGAGATAAAATGGTTTATTAAAAAGCATCTCTTCAGATAATAGAATTTAATATGCCAGAGATTTATTTACACTTAATCTAATGCAATCCTACGTGCCCAATCATCAACTAACTGAACCAGGATGTGAAATAGTTGAAATTGCCCTCGTAGTTGATTGGCCCTGATTCTAAAAAAGGGGTACCCTACCCTACAATTACAAATTACAAAACTATATAAACAGTTTTGTCAAAACACAGTAAAACCTGTATAAGTAGAACACCTTTACTACCTCTGTAGATCCTCTATTTAGGAGGTGTTCTACTTACAGAAGGTCATTAAACATTAAATCATTTGGTCAAAGGACTCTGAAAAGTGTTCTCCTTATGGAAGTATTCTACACACAGAGGTGTTCCATGTCACAGGCTTTACTGTATTATTATAAATGAAAGAAAAATACACAACGAGGAAGGAATCTAAGAAATCACGGTGACCTCCATCAAAACATTTAAAGTACATGTACAAGTTTTACATGTAGATGTATTTGTATTACACAAAGCAGGAATGTTTTTTTCTAATTGAAGTAGAACTCTTGAAATAAACACATACAAATATTTTTCTAATGATTTTATAATAGAAATCACCCATATCTCAATGGACATATTTCTTCTGCAATTCAATAACTTTGAAGTTAGCAAGGTATTAAAATTAAAACTCTTTTGAAGAAATGCCAACAAATGTGAGTAAAGATTAGTTAAAGTTTACAATAAAATATTAAATATCTTGTATAGCGTTAAATTGCTGTAAATAGAGAAAGGTATTTCCCTATTCAGAAGTATTTCACGAGGCCGAGGGTCATGTTTATACCTCCAAATATGGTAATAATAAAAAGGAGTACCAATGCATAATACAACAGATGTTAAGTAACAGTTGCGTACTTGGTAGGTAAAGATGCCCAAAACCAAGAAGTCTTTTCCAATAGAAAGAAATCATGTGTAGTAAACAACAATGGCTTGAGCATATGTTACTACTGTGAGGAAAGGTATTTGCCAAGTACTAGATATCCTCTGGCCTCTTATCTTATTGCCATAATTGCTTCCAGACCTCAATGTTGGCCCATCTTCATCAAGTAAGGTATGATGAGAAAGAACCTAAACCCAGTATTGTGAATGATGCTGACCAATATGATCTGCTTGCTTTTTTTAAACTTTTCAATATCATCCTTATCCTGTTATGAGAGATCATGTCATTCTATCAATTTCATTTCTATTGCTTTAACTGAAAATGTACACTTTTGCTAAATTTTAAAAGAGTTAGGAGAGCTAATTCATTTAAACATGAGGCTTTGTCCACGGATTCAGGAATACAGAACAGAAAGATGTGTTAAATATCAGAGTGTTCTAACCTAAGTGACTAAAATGGAAGGTTTGATATCGGGAGGGTCTTGAAACAAAAAATAATATCCCATACGAAACTGAAACCTCGTGAATAGAGACAAACTTCCCCCATAAATACATAATTTGTCAAACTACGGGAAGTCTAACAAATAATATTCACAAATAAATATTAATGATAAGGATGGCTCAACATTTTTCATGATGACATTGGAACAATTAAATTCATTTTAGGAATTCAGGTGATTTCTTACTTGAGAATGTTCGGATGGTTGAGTTTGTTCATGAGCTGCACCTCCCTCAGTACATTAGGTTTGTTACTCGGAGATATGTTCAGCTTTAAGACCATCACCTCCTTCGTTGTACGATGTGTCACCTGAAACATACAAAATGATATATCACGTTATCATCCATTATTCAATAATAATCTTCAATTCAATGTTTCATTGTAAAAAATGTTAACTGATTATAACATAATGAAACAAGGCATTAACATGCAAAATGTCACCACCTGCCATTTGTTTGAGATGTCATGTTAAAGACACTAAATGGGACTACCGAACTATGGGAACTGGAGACTAAAACAATATGATGTCACAACTTGTGGAGGTGACATAGCAATTTACAACACAAGAACACAAATGTGTACAATATGTCCCCACCAATGGGTGATCCCATGAAATGGTTATCCTGAAAATGAGTAGACAAGACTTTACTGACACAATTTGAGGACGGAAAGTCCAAAATGGCCGCCTTAAAATTTACCCAGAATCCCCAAAAATTAGCTAGTTCTAGATTTTCATACTAAGAACCACCCCTGAAAATTTGAAATTGATCCGTCAAACAGTTAAACAAGACTTTACAGACAAGATTTTAGGATGGAAAATCCAAAATGGCTGCCTTGACATTTACCCAGAATGTCAAAAAACTAATCAGATCTAGATTTTCATACTAAGAATCATCCCTGAAAATTTGAAATTGATCTACCAAACGGTTCACCTGAAAACGCGTAGACAAGACTTTACAGACAAGATTTTAGGACAGAAAATCCAAAATGGCTACCTTGACATTTACCCAGAATGCCAAAAAACTAATCAGATCTAGGTTTTCATACTAAGAATCATCCCTGAAAATTTGAAATTGATCTAACAAATGGTTCACCTGGAAATGCGTAGACAAGACTTTACAGACAAGATTTTAGGACGGAAAATCCAAAATGGCTGCCTTGACATTTACCCAGAATGCCAAAAAAACTAATCAGATCTAGATTTTCATACTAAGAATCATCCCTGAAAATTTGAAATTGATCTACCAAACGGTTCACCTGGAAATGCGTAGACAAGACTTTACAGACAAGATTTTAGGACGGAAAATCCAAAATGGCTGCCTTGACATTTACCCAGAACGCCAAAAAACTAATCAGATCTAGATTTTCATACTAAGATTCATCCCTGAAAATCTGAAATTGATCTACCAAACGGTTCACCTGAAAACGTGTAGACAAGACTTTACAGACAAGATTTTAGGACGGAAAAAACCAAAATGGCCGACAATAAAAAAGTGATTATGAGTTTTTGCTGGTTTCCTTTTACAAAATTATTACATATGACTACTGTTAACAATAACATAGGCTTTTTCAACAAAGTACACCTGGAATTATTTATAAAGCTACTAAATAGTTAAAGTATGAAAACTCAAAAACACCATTCAATATGATACAAAGTATTATCGCGCGCTAACTTTTCTTCAGACATTCAAAATGGCTGACATGACTGGGCTAACAGGTCCAAAACCTAATCAGATGTAGAATGAAGTGAGCTGAACAAGATGTTAAAGTTTTAAAAGCAACTGTGAAGCCGTTTTTCTTAAAGTTTGCAGACAAGGATTTTAGCATTTGACCTCAAAATGGCTGACAGGAAGTAGCTATCGAGTTAATTTTTTTTCATCCACATCTGTATGCACTCACAAGTTATTCCTGAAAATTTGAAGGTGATACCTGTAGTGGTTTTGGAGAAAACTGCCGGACGTACGGACGGACAGACAGACAACCAGACAGACAGACGGACGGATGGATGGACGCGCCTAGGACGACAATATGGCCCCACACTATGTGGTGGGGACATAATAATACAGTAAAACCAGAAGCCTGACCAAGTGTTCATATAGGCAGGTGTTCACATTTCATGGTTTTCAACATGTTAGTCTATGGCAGATTAAAGAATAGGATCAAAAAGTGTTCAGATAAGAAAGGTGTTCGGAAATACAGGTTTTACTGTATTAAACATGGAGTGATTGAATTAACACTTTCAACGTAAATCAACTTTTGGTAACATATGACAATTCAACATAAAACAACCAGGTGTCCAAAAGTTCAGACAAAATATACAATTATAATTCCATATGCAAGAATTCTCCATTTCTACTTCAAAGCTATTTGGCATTTTGTATTCACATTCAACATTTGCAGTTACAAATGATTTACCACATAACCTAGTCTGCATAGGTCATATTCTAAACCATTAACAGTTTTCTAACACATCTTTCTAAAATATATTGGTTCATACAAAACAATCAACTTTTTGTTCTTACGTGACTTGAACTAACATTGTAGTCAATCTGTGCTTTAATGTATTTTTGCTGTTCATGCTTCATATTGGTATTTTCTATGATGATTTCTGAGAGTAATTTAGAAGAGTACATTAACTGGGAGAGAGCCCTAGTTCTGCCTCACTGGGCTATATTAGGAAAATAAAATCTGTAGTTTCCAGCAAAAAACTAATCAACATTCTAGTGAAATTGCAAAGGTTGTTGGTAATGATAACATAAATCTTGATGGAAATCTGACTTCCTATAACCTTTGTTATTGTGGTTATCTACTAAGGTTTTAATGTAATATAAATTCATCTTTTATTAACTTGTTCATCAGATCATATTAACTCCAGAGTTTGTTGTAGGCTATATAGAATTGGTACTATGGCTAATTCACCATTTATAGATTGTCATGTCAACTGTTTTACTGTGTTTTTAATACAGAGTGTCTATAAAGTCTCTTCATACATACTTTGTATTTTAATTATAATACTAAGAATCATCCCTGAAAATTTGAAATTGATCTAACAAACGGTTCACCTGGAAATGCGTAGACAAGACTTTACAGACAAGATTTTAGGATGGAAAATCCAAAATGGCTGCCTTGACATTTACCCAGAATGCCAAAAAAACTAATCAGATCTAGATTTTCATACTAAGAATCATCCCTGAAAATTTGAAATTGATCTACCAAATGGTTCACCTGGAAATGCGTAGACAAGACTTTACAGACAAGATTTTAGGACCGAAAATCCAAAATGGCTGCCTTGACATTCACCCAGAACGCCAAAAAACTAATCAGATCTAGATTTTCATACTAAGATTCATCCCTGAAAATTTGAAATTGATCTACCAAACGGTTCACCTGAAAACGTGTAGACAAGACTTTACAGACAAGATTTTAGGACGGAAAAAACCAAAATGGCCGACAATAAAAAAGTGATTATGAGTTTTTGCTGGTTTCCTTTTACAAAATTATTACATATGACTACTGTTAACAATAACATAGGCTTTTTCAACAAAGTACACCTGGAATTATTTATAAAGCTACTAAATAGTTAAAGTATGAAAACTCAAAAACACCATTCAATATGATACAAAGTATTATCGCGCCTATAGAATTGGTACTATGGCTAATTCACCATTTATAGATTGTCATGTCAACTGTTTTACTGTGTTTTTAATACAGGGTGTCTATAAAGTCTCTTCATACATACTTTGTATTTTAATTATAACGAGACTATGGACACTGTACTTGTGGTCTTTATGATTATGGCAATGGGCTTCCTTACACACTTAAACAAATGTTATAAACAAATAAAACATGTATAAAATACTACCATATATAGGTACATTATATTATCAGTTCTTGTAAATAATGACCCAGTATCAGTATGGTATTTTATCTCAAGTAACATGCCTGTAAAATGACAGTTAAAAAGCTCTATATTACATTTCAACATGTTCAAAGAATTTTGAAGATATCTACCCTTGAACTGTCAATCAGGCCATCCAATATCACAAAAACCAATCAAGAATATATAGAGATAACCTACTTCTAGCAATCAATCACACTATACAGTAAAACCTGTCTAATCTGAATTCTACCGGGACCGGCCGAAAATGTTCAGATCGAATATTCACATATTTCAAGGTTTTCTAACATGGAAGTCTATGGCAGATTTAAAAATGGGATGAAAAAGTGTTCACATTGAGAGATGTTCAAATTAGAGAATGTTCATATATACATGTTTTACTGTACAATGTAATTCACCCTTTAAAGACTGTCTCCTGGAACTGGGTGTGGTTCCCAGTTTAAATCAGAAAAATTGTGATGAACATTTTAAGACAAGATAAAACGACAATGTTGCAACCATATATACAGTAAAACTTGTATATTCCAAACACCTCTTATATCTAATTAGCTCTAAATATGAACAACTTATCTCAGTCCCAAGTTTGTTGTCCCCTACCCCATTGACTAACATATTCAGAAACCTTAAAACCTGCTAATCACAGTTTTCACAAGTCCAAGTAATGTTAGGATAAGATAGGGTTTACTGTAATGGCTGAGGCACTAAGTAGAGACAAGAGAGACCAGATGGGGCATTGATATCCCATAGAAATATTATATCCCATTATAGTGTAGAATAATAGAATGACGCATCTATTAGGTGACCAAAATTAAAATAAGAATGACAAAGTGTAATTATTCTGTAGCTTAAGTGTGATCAGAAAGATTTAGACTGGAACTAAGATGTATATTGATCTTTATTAATAAGAAATATTGTCAGCTCAAGTTGCCATGAATTACTTTTGACCAAGAGCAGCAATATTATAGTGTGTCCTATTTCAGGGTTACTGGTAATTAATATTTCTAATTTCTATAAATGAGAAAACCATGAGACTATTTGCTGATAGTATTGATAATACAAGGGATTGTTTCAAAACATCGATGTATTTTAAAAGTTCTTCATTTCTTAAAATGTTAAGAACAATCATTTCATTTCTCAGATTTCCAAAATATCCCCTTCCTGTTAAATCAATAATTACTTTGAGCCATTTTAACACCAAACGTGAAGATGTAACGACTGCTAAATTTGATGTTTATGTGATTTTGACTTCATACATGTAAGCCTACCACCCGGCACCATCCACATTTACAATTCACAGTAGAGTTGTTGAACTTTGAAATATTTTCACTTTTGCATATGCCATGTGAATAATTAATAATATAATATATCATCTAAGCTCTTAAGAGATGTAGGTAGATACATGACTTAAATG